GTCTCCTCTGGTTTTAAAACGAGTGCAGGGGACCATCAACAGGTTCTGAGTGGAGGACCTCAGGCTCCTGTTGGAGACATAGGGGTGGATCAGGCCCTGTATGTATTCAGGCGCCTGACCATGAAGAGCCCTGAATGTCAACACTAGAATTCAATTTGGAGAGACGAGAAAACAGGAAGTTTTGAGTATTTTATTGAAAGGAGGTTTGGCGCCCTAGGTCCCGGTGCGGCCTTCAGATCGGAAAGGCTCCTGCGATGGAGCGCGCACAATCCCCCGGGACCTAGGCACTGGTGGCGGCATTTGGCAGCGGGAAGCAGATTGAAGGCAGATTGGAGGCAGGGTGAAGAGGAGGAGGAGGGGAGGCGGTGGTTGCAAGGCTTCGAGAAGGCCGAGAGTGGGAGTTTCTTCGCTTTTATGCGGCTGGCGAGGTACAGATGATTGGAAGGGGGCGTCTGCTGAGCGATAGGCTGGGGATGCGAGCCGGCCTGGAGGGGGTAATTTTGGTTAATGTCTACCAAATTGAATTTTCGCTGGCTGCATTTCAATTTGGAGAGACGAGAAAACAGGAAGTTTTGAGTATTTTATTGAAAGGAGGTTTGGCGCCCTAGGTCCCGGTGCGGCCTTCAGATCGGAAAGGCTCCTGCGATGGAGCGCGCACAATCCCCAAAAAGGCTGCGTGTTGATGGAGTTTTCGAAGCCTGGTTTGGAGGGGACAGACGTCGTGACTACTCTATTCTGTGACCGCTATCGCTATATGCTGTGACCGCTATCGCTATATGCTGTGACCGCTATCGCTATATGCTGTGACCGCTATCGCTATATGCTGTGACCGCTATCGCTATATGCTGTGACCGCTATCGCTATATGCTGTGACCGCTATCGCTATGCTGTGAACGCTATCGCTATATGCTGTGACCGCCAGCGCAATGCTGCTAACCATTTTTTGCTATATGCTGTGACCGCTATCGCTATATGCTGTGACCGCTATCGCTATATGCTGTGACCGCTATCGCTATATGCTGTGACCGCCATCGCTATATGCTGTGACCGCTATCTACTGTGATCAATACTTGCGGATACTCGGCTGCTGCCGCCACCAGGAAGTTTTGTGAGTGATTTATGGAGATGCCAAGAGGCGCTGGGCTGTCAGAATGGTCGAAGTGTCAGGCCTGATGTATGAGGAGAGGGCCGATGATGACCAGCGGCCCAGCTGCTGGAGGGCAGAATGGGGAAGTCCTAGGGACGCGGCGCGCGTGGCGGCGCCTATCCGGAAGGAGTGAGCTGTGTAGAGATGGGGAGACAGGTTACAAAGCAGCAGTACGGACTTTAGTTGGGCCCTGAACCAGTTAGATGTCATTGGGAGGTGATCGGGGGTGAAATAACGGTCCGTTGAGATCTCCTTTCCGAGAGCGGAGGCGAGTGTAATGCATCATGGATCTTTAGGGACAGGGAGAAGTGTCAGACCGAGCTATGACTATATTGCAAGCGCCTTTGCGTTTGGAATGCTTGAGGTGGAGGTTGAAGTAGTCGGGATAATATGACAGGTCAGAGAAGGCAATGTCTCGGGATGCATTAAAGGTGGCGTGAGAGTTTGTGAATTCGCTTATGCGTAAGAAGCCCATTTTCATGTAGGATGCAGCGGAGGAGAGAAGGTGAAGAGACGGAGGGACTAGGCCGGGGCGAGGGATTCCGTGCAGGGGATCTGGCATGGCGATGGATTGGCAGAAGGGCAGAGGCGTCAGAACTCCTGGAATTTAAAGCGAGAGAGAGAGTCAGCAATACAGTTAGGTGAAGAGGGACGTGACGAACAGTGATGATAAATTGTTCGAGACTGAGAGCCATGTGATGCGTCTAAGGAGGGTGTGATTTGGGGAGAGGATGAACGACTTCTGTTAATTATTTCAATGAAGTCGAGGTTGTCGCACGTCACGGAAATCCTTTTCCTATGCCACGTATGGTTCCGCAGCACGCAGGCTCCGGTCACGGGATATATCTCGTGGAGCGCGGAGGAGATGCTTTGAGGGAAAGCGTCGGGCCGGGGCCCGGCGAGCCACTGGTCCTGGAAAACCCCCAAAACCCACGGACGGGGCTGCGTCCGTGAAGAACCGCGGGGCATCTGAGACAGGATGATGTCACTGTAAAAAAAAAGAGATACACCATCCCAGCGGCTCTGCAAACTGGACCGGAACGCCAGGTCGGAGCAGCGCCCCGCGTCCGGGCAGACGCGTCATCGAGGGAGGAGACGGAGCCGGCGAGGGAAAGGAGTCTGGAATTAAAAGAACGACCTTGGGGAATGATACAGACGGCATAATGAAGATGCCCGAGGAGGGAGAGCAAGGACGCCTCGAAGTGACGGGAAGGCCAAGGCAGACCGGGAGAAAGCGCGGATGCGTTCGAGCTTGTCCAGGGGGAGGGAGGCCTCCATGGCGCGTGTGTCGAGGCGGATGCCGAGAAACTCCAGAGCGTTGGCGGGGCCTGTGGGCTTTCCGGAGTGGAGGAATCCGAGGGCAGAGAAGGCGGGCCTGAGCTTGCGGAGAGAGCCCCCGGAGCAGTCTGAGGGTGGGTCGACTATGAGGGAATCATCGGGGAGATGCAGACAGAGGGGAGCCGCGCGAAATTAAGCAGAATCCGACACGGCGCCTCCGAGAGATTGTTGAACGAGAGGGACTACTCCGGCAGTCAAAGGTGAGGCGCACTGCGGAGAAGAACTCCGACGCCACTTGACCCCTGAACGGCGCCAGTGGTCGGGGTGGATGGCAGCAGCTTGAACGCGACCGGGATGACGGCCTTGGAGAGCCAGGAGCCGGGGCCGAAAGTCTTTATCAGCCTGATCGCGTGGTCCACGGTAGCGGACTGCAGGGAGAAGGACGCTGGAGGGAAGGGGCTGTTGATGCTCGGGCGGGCCCGGAGCGGGGACAGGAGAGGACGAGTATGAGACGCTTCTTCCTGGAGTGCTTGCGGGTGGCGATGCCCATCGGGTTAGAGCGAGACGGAGAGAAGGGGCCAATGACGTAGCCCACGGACACCTTCCGCGCCCGAGCCGCGTGCCGATTTGGGGCTCACGGAGAGCCGGGAAGAGGTTGCGGGACACGAGACGCCGAGGGACCTAAACAGAGCCTGCAGTCTAATGTGAGGGATTTAAATAGAGCTTGCAGTCCAAAGTGAGGTATTAAAACTGAGCCCGCAGTCCAAGTGAGGCGTTTAACGGTGTGAGGGAGTTAAACGATGTGAGGGATCCAACAGAGCCTGCAGTTTTTTATATTTATTTATTTATATTTATTTATATTTATTTATATTTATATGTATTCATATTTATATTTATTTATATTTATTTATTTTTATATATAAGCGTTCCAGATATAAGCAGTACCATATATGCAGTTCCAATATGAGCAGTTCCATATAAGCAGTTCCGTATACAAGCCGTTCCACATATAAGCAGTTCCATATATAGCAGTTCCATATATAGCAGTTCCATATATAGCAGTTCCATATATAGCAGTTCCATATATAAGCAGTTCCATATATAAGCATGTGACGGAGTTGCTCTCCCCCTGTCACTAATGCTCTGGTTGTGCGCGCACTCTGGCCATACTTCCCGGTGCGAGACGCGCGCTCCCGCGCAGAGTTTTACACACCATAATTAAGCATGTTGTACTCACCGGTCCCGCTACGTAATCGCAGGTCTCCACACATCCCCTTGTTTCTCCCCTCCATAAACCACACGGTAGCAGCATCCATGGCTCGCTGCAGCTCGGGGTGCACACCGGGTTCGCGCGCGCGCCCGTTCATGCTCTCCTCCTTCCGCGTACGTAGTACCAGGTGACCGGGCAAACCGAGCGCATCTTTGGCTATGCCATTTATACTGGGGTTACGTGCGCTTTTACGCTTTGTTTGTTTAATATTCCTTTGTTTAATGATATCTCCCATATCCATGGAAGGGAATTAAAGGGGAGGTATGTTGAAATAATAGTATTGATAATTTGAGAGGAGTTTCAACCAGAAAGGGTTGTTTTGTAAAATTATATTAACTATTTTGTGTAACGCCCATGGGAGGGGCCTGGGGCATAAGAGGGGAGCTGTTTGGGCTGTACAGGGAGTCTTTTGCCTGGTTGCAGAGAGGGCAACATCCGGCTATTGTGGTATCCTGGCATTCTGAAAGGTTATGTACACAACTTATGTACATTTGTAAATATGTACATATATTGTTTTTTCACATGTTTGTAAATAGCACTGGGGAAATAAACTGGAGAAACAGTTTTTTTTGACTGGCCATTGGTTTTTTGAGAAGTGTTCCCACAACATTTGGTGTCAGGAGTGGGATGGCCAGTCAAAAGTTGGCCCATTTCCCAGGCAAGCGAACTGGACTGCGTTCACAGAAGACTAAAATGTCCCTTCCAAAAGAGGAAGATGTTAACCTGTCTTGGGATACAGACGAGGAGGATTGTAGTCCTGGTCCCTCTACTCGAGGCCAGCCAGTGCCCGCAGGAGTGGGTGAGGAACTATTGGACGTTATGCGCAGCTTCCTACAAGGTCAACAGAGGAGGGAGGAAACCATGATGGCCGAACTCCAAGGGCTGAGGTCTTCACTGTCTGAGCGCAGACCGGAGCCTCCCTCTGCATCATCTTCAACTTGGACCGCCGTTAGCCCTCGGATAGACCTTCCTACCCCAGCACCAAGGCAGCGGCCACCCAGTTTTTCTCCAACGGACCGGAGGCCAAGTGGGGATGGCGGCCAGTCACGGCGCCAAGACGCTCGATCCTACGGGGACCCCAAGATCCCTCCCTATCAATCCGGTGAGGATATTGAGAATTATTTACTACGTTTTGAGCGCATTGCAAGGACTTGGGCCTGGCCAGATGATGAGTGGGCGTGTCGGCTGGTGCCATTGTTATCCGGGAAGGCATTGGAGGCCTACTCGGCAATGGATGAGGACAGTGCACACTCCTATCCGGATCTAAAGGAGGCACTCCTCGCAAAGTTTGACATTTCACCCGAAATGTACCGCCGGCAATTCAGATCCACCACTGTTCCGCCTGGTGAAAATCCGGCAGAAACGTACCACCGGCTAAAGGGTCTGTATCGTCGTTGGATCCGACCGGAGGAGCACACCAAGGAGGAGGTTGGAGACGCCATCATCCTGGAGCAGTTTCTACGCGTCCTCCCAGGCGATATCCGAACCTGGGTGATGGAGCATGAGCCGAAGGAGGGGCTAGCGGCTGCCAAACTGACCCAGCAGTACATCAACGCCAGGAAAGGAGCACGTCAACCAACTCCACCACCAAGGTTTCCACGCCGCGAGGGTCCAACGGTGACAGCAGGTAACCCGAGTCCGGCCGGCATACATCAAGGAACTAGTAAGGAGCTGATTTGTTTTTATTGCCAGCAGCTGGGCCATAAAGCATCTTTATGTCCCATTCGTAAGGCTAAGTTGTCTGGGGCATGCTATGTTCCACGGTCTGAGAAACAGAATGCGACAGTGGTAAAGCGCTACAAAACAGTAACGGTTAATGGACAAACAATTGAAGCATTGTTGGATAGCGGCAGTTCTATGTCTCTAGTCTGTGAAGAGTTTGTTCCTGTTAATGCTTTGGAATATGGCAAGTGTGAGGACATTATTTGTGTTCATGGGGACAAGCACCCTTACCCTACTGCGGAGCTAACAGTAGCTATTGATGGACAGACTTACTTATTGACAGTCGGAGTTGTGGCCAGTCTCCCCGTTCCGGCCCTACTAGGCTGTGACTTGCCCATTCTTCTGGACTTATTGATGGACAATGATAACACAACCAGTGTCAAAAAGACTTTGTCATGCACTGTGGTCACGAGGGCCCAGGCTCAAACAAAAGCACAATCACCCACTGGCCTTGACCATGGTCTGCAGGTGGTTGATGCGCTAAAGCCACAGAACCAGTGCTCAGATGCTCAGCCTTTTGCTAGTTTTGAGGACAGTGTTTTTGAGGGAGGTACAAAGGGGCCTAAAAAGTCAAGGCGTCAGCGTCGGTTTGAAAAGCGGCTGGTAGCTAAGCAGCCAGATAAGGACACTGTGCACAAGGACTTATGGGAAATACCGGGTAACATTTCTGATCTGCAAAAAGATGACTGTACTCTTAAATCTGTGTTTGCTAAAGTAGGAAAGCTACCGGTGTGTGACATTAAAGCAGGCTTTGTTAGTGATAATGATGTTTTGTACAATCTTGAGAATGGGGTAAAACGTTTGGTTGTACCGCAAATCTGTCGGCCTGTTGTGATGCACCTTGGTCATACATTGCCGTGGGCCGGTCATCTGGGACGAAACAAAACTTATCTGCGCATCAGCTCTCGGTTCTTTTGGCCTTCTATGTATACAGACGTACAGAAGTTCTGTTCCACCTGTCCCGTTTGTCAAAAAAGTTGTTCCGTTCGTAAATGCGACCGTGCGTTCCTTCAACCGCTCCCTGTCATATCCACTCCGTTTCGTCGAGTTGCTATGGACATTGTAGGACCGTTGGTTAGGAGTAGCACGGGGTGTCAGTATATTCTGGTTCTTTCCGACTATGCGACCCGTTTTCCGGAAGCGTTTCCGTTACGTACTATTACTACCCCGGCAGTTCTGCGCGCTCTGGTGCAGTTCTTTTCGAGAGTAGGCCTACCTGATGAGATTTTAACTGACCAGGGAACCAATTTTACATCACGTCTTATGCATCTGTTCCACCAGCAGCTTGGAATCTCTGCCATTAAGACGACGCCCTACCATCCCCAAACAGATGGCCTGGTTGAGCGCTTTAACCAGACGCTTAAAAAGATGTTGCGGAAGTTTGTCGCTGATACGGGCAAGGACTGGGACCGGTGGTTGCCATTTCTGCTCTTCGCCTACCGCGAGGTTCCCCAGGCATCTACAGGCTTTTTGCCATTCGAGCTACTTTATGGCTGGGATGTCCAGGGTCCACTGGATTTACTTCGTAAGGAATGGGAGAGTCCTGCCAAGTCTGCCAGTGACCAGAGTATCGTACAATATGTGCTGGAGATGAGGGAACGGCTGGTGAAATACCAGGAGGAAGCAACCCACAACCTCACTGAGGCCCAGAGAAGCCAGAAGACCTGGTACGACCAACAGGCAAGGCATCGTGAGTTTCACCCGGGCCAAAGGGTTCTTCTTCTCCTTCCCTCGTCTAATAGCAAGTTGCTGGCCAAGTGGCAAGGGCCCTATACTATCATCCGCAAAATGGGCCCAGTAACGTACGAGGTTCACCATCCGGACAAAAAGAAGGTGAAGCAGACATATCATGTAAACCTTCTCAAGGAATGGAAAGAACGGGAGGGCCCTGTCGCGTCGCTTCTTGTGCAGCATGTCCGAGTACCAGATGGGGAAGAAGAGGACATTGGAGCTGAAGAACTGCCGCAAGCCGCAGAGCCAGTACTGGCTCATCTCACCAGAGTCCAAGCTGTGCAACTACTCCGTGTGTTCGACAACGTCCCCTCTCTGTTCGCTGCCAACCCGGGGAAGACGACTCTGGTGGAGCATGTCATTCGGCTAAAGGAGGGCCGCCCGATCCGACAGAGGGCATACAGAGTTCCCCAACACCTGGTGGAGAAGCTCAAGAAGGAAGTAGAGGAGATGCAGAAGCTGGGCGTCATCGAACCCTCAAATTCAGAGTGGTGCAGTCCCGTGGTGATCGTCCTAAAGAAAGATGGCTCCCTACGCATTTGTATAGACTTTCGAAAAATCAATGCAGTGTCGGAGTTTGACGCTTACCCAATGCCTCGAATTGACAAACTCCTGGAGAGTGGGAGTTTCTCCGCTTTTATGCGGCTGGCGAGTCGGTACAGATGATTGGAAGGGGGCGTCTGCTGAGCGATAGGCTGGGGATGCGAGCCGGCCTGGAGGGGGTAATTTTGGTTAACGTCTACCAAATTGAATTTTCGCTGGCTGCATTTTTAAAATGTATTCTGTGTGAGACAGGGAGCCAGTGTAAAGACTTCAAGATAGGAGTAATGTGGGCTCTCCTGTGGGTGCGGGTCAAAAGCCTTGCAGCAGAATTTTGGACCACTTGTAGACGAGCCAGATCTTTTTTACTAAGACTTGTAAGTAGGCTGTTACAATTGTCCAATAGGCTGTTACAATAGTCCAATCGCTACAGAGTATATATCTTTACATTTTCTCCTGGTGGTTCATTTTTCATTTTTTCAATGAAAATTAGGCCTTGGCTCAAAAAAGGTTGAAAAACACTGGTCTAGAGAGCGGGTCGACCACTGTATATAAATGTCCAGAAATGTCCCGAATCATCAACATCTTTAGAAACCTACTGCATTGGCGAGGACAGGCCCAAAACAATCCCAGTGGGAGTAAACCCAGTGTGTGCAGGGAGAGGCATTGGCTGTAAAGCTGTTTTCAAGAGGAAAAAAGGCACCAAAAGAATTCATTGTATAATTCTGTTTCCGAGTACACCCCCACCGGCAAGGAAACAGATTGCATGAATGTCAGCGCACATGCTCACAGACCTTTTTGAGCAAACACATAAAACATTGTCAGGTGCAGTTGTTTTGCCGTAATAATACTGTACAGAAGATATTCAAAGACTTTCAGCAGGTCCTGTGTGTGAGCCTGCATGGTAAGACTGGACTCTTATTAAACCAAGCCTCTCACTGTTTGCTGCTGAGTCCCTTTTTCATAATTTCATGAGTGAAATCAAAGCCAGTGTATAGTGTGTTGTAAATTTTCCAAATTTAATCTTTTTTGATGGTGAATCCAACACCCAAACTTAAAGCTGCACTAACTGACTTTATTTTTGTATTCATTACGAAAATGCTTTCCATGTCCATTTAGTGCATTGGGATATACGTCCTTTTGAAGAAAAAGTAGCGCAGATTTGTGCTGGCATGACATTATATTTTAGATCGAGTTTTGATGAAACAAGAAAGAGAATGTGTTTCGGGTTTCTGATTGTCACCAATCACAGAGGACCACTAGCCCCCACTTTTGTGAGAAATCTACAGGTCCGTTAGCATAGACGGCTGAGTTTGCACAACAAGCCGAGGAGCTAACCTGAAACTTCCTCGTCTTCGTCACCGGTTACTGCTTACACAGCGAAACAGCCATCCAAAAGAAAGTCCCGTTCCTCCGCGCTTCCCGGTTCTATCGTTCTATGGTCACGCCATCCACGTGCAAATTCATGTCCATGTATTATCCATATTGGGAGACGCTAGCTCCGTCAACAACAGTGGGTGTGTGTGTGGGGGTCAATAGCTTCGTGGGTGCGGGGAGGGGAGCAGAAAGAGCGAGGCCAGCGAGTCCGTGGCTTCAAAATCCCAAAGTCTGTTTGTGCAGCTTTGATAGTGCTCGGCTTTAAAATGACAATAATCTTAGTAAAATAAACAGCCTGTGCACCCTGTGTTGCAAATAGCTGATTAAACATGAAAATATAAATATAGTTAATGGGTACAATGTCCTGAATTTCTCCTACGGGGATCAATAAAATATCTATCTATCTATCTGTGTCAATTTTTGGCACTAAACTGGTTCAGCCACTTCCTAAAACTGTTTTCACTTCTGCTCTTCTCCACTGGAGTCGCCCTTCTCTCTGTGTACAGACTTTGCATAGGGAGCATTTCAGTTTTAGAAATAACCCAACTCGCAAGCTATTATACAGGTTATATAAATGCCACGCATGGCACAGAGGGATTCATAATGACTTGTGCTACAACTGGTTTTTTTCCCGAGGTAGATGCCAGAAGGATGCAGCAAAATGACCATTGGAATGTCTTGGGGATCAATGAGAAACAACAGCATTAGGGAAGTTCTTCTCTGCATAACTTACAAATTATCAATGTTTTTACTCCGCTCTTGCCTCCTTTTGGATGGAAGACCCAGGAGACCTATTAGGGAACCAAGGGAAGAAAACAGTAGATTTGGACCCACTCCCTCGAGGTTGAAGTCTTAGGAACCCTTTGCTGGAAAGAGTCAGAACAAAAGTTTGAGCAAAGAATCCTTTTTTAGTTACAGTATTGATCCACTTAGCATTTGGTTTCCCTGGTGTGGAGAGCGATAGAGCAAACGAGACAGCCCTGAGGCGACACATGCACCTCTGTGAAGTGCAACTAGAAAACGGTTGGCCCTTTTAAATGATACAACCCTCTGTTTCAGGATTACGAAAGCACTTATTGAATGCAATATGGGAAGTGTTTCTGACTTTTGTAACCTCTTCACTTGGTGGTCGTTCAATGATTTTTCTTTTAAAAGATGCTATGATATAAATACTTTTGTATTATTTCATAGCACAGAGAAGTCTGCACTGGTGAACATGATAATGTATAGGAACCAAGTAAATCCTCTATTGACCTGTAAACTCCTGTGGCTCAGAGAATAGACTTTAAAACAGCTCTGCTTGTGGACAAGTCTCTCCATGGCCTCGCACCATAAT